GGAATACAGCCTCCCCACACATAACCAATGCCCCACCACCTAATTTTTTTTACCCACCAACATAAACCTTTTATTTTTTCCATATCTTTGCCCATCTCCAGCAGGAAGTAGCTTCAGAAGAATGAGACCTTCGCCCCTTTTCCCTTCTCCCTATACTTAAAAGGCGGGAATGATGGATCTTGGACATGACCGGCACCACAGCCCCTCAGAATCAGTGACCCTTCCCTAGAAGAATACAGCCTCCCCACATGAAACCAATACCCCGCCACCTAATTGTTTTACCCACCAACATAAACCTTTTATTTTTTCCATATCTTCGCCCATCTCCAGCAGGAAGTAGCTTCAGAAGAATGAGACCTTCGCCCCTTTTCCCTTCTCCCTATACTTAAAAGGTGGGAATGATGGATCTTGGACATGACTGGCACCACTGTGCACACAATAAGCACAAAATAGCTGTTGGCCTCATCTTCCACTCCACCACCAGACCCCTCCCCACTTCCCTTTACAAGAAGCCCCATGACTTCTGCAAAACAGAAACCCTTTTGCTTCTGCAAGGGCGCAGTTCTCCACCCTGATCACATAGCTTTGGCATTAGCATAATGCCCCTCCTTGATGGTATCAGCCAGCCTTTGGCGCCCTATATAAGCTCTCTCACCCCCACATCTGGTGCTGTCCTCCATCTTGAGGGCAGCCCCAGGCTGCCCTCCACTTTGAGCGCAGCCAGGTAGATTCTTTTCCTTTAATAAAGCTTGATCGGTACCCGGTGTCTTGGCTCACTTTCTTTCAGTGATAGGTGATGGAATTCTAAGTTCTAGTAGATGAAGGACATTTGTGTTCTAGGAAGAAGAGCCTGATCCTAATATTCTTAACATGTCCCTTCTACCTCTCGCTTGGACAGAGTCACAGAAGGAATGTTGGCATTTTCCATCTTATCCAGGGAGCGAGCAATTTCCTCCAGAGTCTTCCGGTAAAGCTCTTCCTTGATGACCCTCACCTGGAAGGGAAACATCAGAGACTGAGTGCTTTGGCTTCTGCCCATTACCTCTTTTTCAGTACAAAGGGCATTCTTGGAGTTGGGAAATAGCAACTGACAACAATGTAGAAAGTGAAGGCTAAGTAGATTTAATTAGCAAAGAACCCAATTAACAACAGACTTGGAAGGAGCCCCCAGAGGCAAAGCTTGTGTTAAAGTCAACACCTCCTGGTTAGCAGAAAGGAGACAAGGAAGTGAAAGCTGGCTGGCAGTTGCTCCCGTCAGGTCTCCAGCCCAGGGCAGAAAGATGCTCAGTGATTAGGTCCATTTTGCTTGCTGCCACAAACGGGCTGGCAGTGAGAAACTTCTAGGGCCTTGACTTAAAGCAATGTTTCTCAATCCTTTTTAACCCATGCTCTATCAGCCAAGATTTTGTCTGGCTCTCCCTTCTGTATTGTGAATATAAATGCAATTTCTTTTTCATTTTCCAATAGCAAAATTTTAATTATAACATTCATTAGGCTTTTCTCAAACTACCTACACCCTCACAGATTCTGATACACTTCTACCCACACCCTTGAGAATTGGTAATACAAAGAAACACAGAAGTCACTGAAGAAGAAATACAAAGAGATAATAAACAAATGAAAAGATGTTTGACCTCACTAGTAATCAGGAAAATATAATCTGAAATAATAAAATCCATTTTTTTGTGTGTGTGTGCTCATTAGGTTGGCAGAAATTTAAAAGACTGACAAGCATATGGGAAAATAAGCTCATACATGGTTAGTAGAAGTATAAAATAATAAGAACTATCTGGAGTAAGATTTAGCAGGATCTAATAAATTTAAAATACATTTTTCTTTGAGCCACTAATTTCACCTCTAGGAGTTTCTTCTATAGAAACACCTCACACACTGGGGCCGGCCCGGTGGCGCACCGCTACAGCGCACCGCTACAGTGCGCCGCTTGGGAGCACGGTGGCGCTCCCGCCGAGGGGTCAGATCCCACATACAGACCGGTTCCCGCTCACTGGCTGAGCGAGGTGCGGGCACAGCACCGAGGGTTGCGATCCGTTGCCGGACACGAAAAAAGACAAAAAAGGAAAAAAAAAAAAAAAAAGAAACACCTCACACTGGAACACAAAGATATATGTGAAGGATGGTCACTATAGCACTGCATATAATAGCAAAACTATGCAAGTAAATAATCATTAATACATAAATTATGGTTCATCCACACTATGGAATACTTTGCAGTCTTTAAAAATAATGAGGAGGAAGCTCTACCTTTACTGACATAGAAAGATCTCCTAAGACATATTCAGTGGGAGAAAAAAAAGATGTTCTCGGGACAATATGTATAATATGATCTCTTTTTAAAAAAGGATTTGTAGGGCCGGCCCGGTGGCGCACTGCTACAGTGCGCCGCTTGGGAGCGCGGCGGCACTCACGCCGAGGGTTCGGATCCCACATACAGACCGGTTCCCGCTCACTGGCTGAGCGAGGTGCGGGCGTGACGCCAAGGGTTGCGATCCCGTTGCCGGTCCTGGTCCGGTACGGGCGCGACACTGAGGGTTGCGATCCGTTGCCGGACACAAAAAAAGACAAAAAGGAAAGAAAATAAAAATAAAAAAGGATTTGTAAATGCATAGAGAGAGGTCTGGAAAGATACAGTCCAGAAAGCAAAGGGGAACTTCCATGTGTGTAGAAATATATAGTAGAAGTAAACGAAAACAATTATTAATTAAACTTACACAATTTTTAAAAGGAGCTTCCTCATGCTTAAGGGGAGAGGAGGAAATCAGAAAGACAAAACATAGTCTTGGTTTTGAGAACCAACTCCCAACATAATGATGACAACCAGTAATAGCTGGCCACATACCCCAATGTCAAACAGTGAGCTGACAGGCTTGTGGTCACTGGTCTTCAGGGCCATGTGGCTCTGGTAACTCAGCTGCATGATGTTTTTCCCTTTCCAGAGGATCCGATCACACCAGGCAGGGGCACGACACTTCTCACTGAAAGGCAAAATCCACACTGGGAGCACTCACAGAGACAGCAGTGCCCACTGCCTGGCTAGTGCCCTGACTCAGGTGGGGAAGGACAAGGCAGAGCCTTTGTGTCCATGCGGCCTACTGATCTCAGACAGCAGGAGTATTAGGGTCCACTGAAGGATAACATGCAACCTGTGGGTATCATCCAAACAACCAGGAAAGTTTAAAACCAAAACACAATTCATACTAATTCTCTGCTCTTTACCCTCCTGTGAGGATTGGGAGAGAGGAAAAAAGGCAATCTGAGAGTAAGTGATCTCTGGTCCTTAAACAATGGCATGGGTGCAAACCCTGCCTCTACCACTTGACTGCTTGGGAGGTTCTTTAATTTTTCTGTGCCTCAGTCCCCAGCCTAATAAAGTTAGGGTCATAAATCATACCTACCTTAGCGGGTTGTTGAGAGGATTAAATGAGGTAATACAAGTAAAGTGTATAAAATAGTGCATGGCACACAGTAAGCACTAATAAAAAATATTAACGACTACATAATGATGTACAAGCTAAGTATCTGGAACCATCTCATCGCCCTAAGCACAGTTGAAAAGTAAATCAGTACCAAGAATTATTATGGTGTGATTGCTTCGGCAGCGCATAAACTAAAATTGGAATAATACAAAGAGTAGCATGGCCCTTGAGTAAGGATGACACAAATTCACGAAATGTTCCATTAAGAAAAAGAAAAGAAAGAATTATTATGCTAATAATAATGGCTAAGATAGTCAAAAAGAAAACATGTGGGAAGGCGGGCTGCTTAATGAGCAGATACTGAGAGAAAATGTTTGACCTGCGTGCAAAACATAGGGAAAGTCACAGGAAACATATTCTTCTTTAGGTCCATGAGGGCAAATGTTCCCCAGAATTTCTGGGTTTCCATTTGCTCAACCTCCTGAAACAACCTCTGACCTACCTGGTATCCCAATCGTCGGAGCCAGTATCATACTTATAGGTAGGCTGGAATGTGAGTTCACCCTCTGTGAAGCCTTCAAAGACAGTCTTTGCAGCCACCTGAATTTTCAACTATACAAAAGGGGGAGAGAAAAAAACAGTCTCAAAATGAAAAGGTCAAACCTTGAATTAGCAGAGAAAAGGAAATCAATCTGGAATACAAATACTAACCCAAAGGGAAAGGCCCTATAAGAAAGCTATTCTTTTTTTTTTTTTTAAAGATGACCGGTAAGGGGATCTTAACCCTTGACTTGGTGTTGTCAACACCACGCTCACCCAGTGAGCAAACCGGCCATCCCTATATGGGATCCGAACCCGTAGCCTTGGTGTTATCAGCACCGCACTCTCCCGAGTGAGCCACAGGCCGGCCCCAGAGAGAAAGCTATTCTATAAGATCTTAAGTTATCTAACTCCTAGGAAGAAGAGCAAGCTGACTATTTCTTCACTTGTTATATAGTTTTTAAGGCTCTTTTAAGAGTCTCATGTTCTACCAACTGAGCAAGCTGGACATCTCAAGGTTCTTTTATAAGAGCAAACCTACATCCAAGGGACCTGAATACTATCTTACTGAGATCCCCTAAGAGGATTAGTTACCGTTCAACACACTTTTTCCCTTCCAGATATCAAACAGCTTCATCTGTGTAGCACAGGTGCTCTAAATATACAGAGATAGAATTGTGTTGTCAAATTAGTTATGTGTGGGCCGGCCCAGTGGCTCACTCGGGAGAGTGCGGTGCTGATAACACCAAGGCCCCGGGTTCGGATCCCATATAGGGATGGCCGGTTTGCTCGCTGGCTGGGCGGGGTGCTGGCAGCACCAAGTCAAGGGTTAAGATCCCCTTACCGGTCATCTTTTAAAAAAAAAAAATTAGTTATGTGAACTGGGGGGAAGCTCTGTGCCTTGGTTTCTCCACCTGTAAATTTTTTTTTTTTTTTCGTCTTTTTGTCTTTTTTCGTGTCCGGCAACGGATCGCAACCCTCAGTGTCGCACCCGTACCCGGGATCGCAACCCTCGGTGTTGCTCCTGCCCCTCGCTCAGCCAGTGAGCGGGAACCGGTCTGTATGTGGGATCCGAACCCTCGGTGGGAGCGCCACCGCGCTCCCAAGCGGTGCACTGTAGCAGTGCGCCACCGGACCCGCCCTCCACCTGTAAATTTTGGATGTATAATAGAATCTACCTCGTTGAGCCATTAGAAAGGTTAACTGTCAACTTAGAATAGTGCCTGACACACTATGAAAACAGGTAGCATCCTTCCTATTGTATTAATTCTAACAGCTTCTTCCAGACCACACTCTCAGCAAGAGATAAAAACCACAAGTGCTCCTGCCTCTTCCCTGGATGTGGACTGGTGAAGAACTGTCAGCTCTAATGTTAGAGACAGAGTCAGCTATCCAGGGGATACCATTTGCCAAATTCCTAAAAATATGATTTCCTTAAAAAAAACTATCAAAGAAAAAGCAACAGGAAATAATAAAAATTTAGGTATGAATGTGAGCTGATGCTTCTTAAATGGCTACATATAGACCTTAAAACCATCTGGAAAGCAGATAACACACAAAATAGGTACTATTACTTCAGGAAAGACCAGAAAAGAAGGCAAGTGAAGATGAGCATCAAACTGCAAGGGAAATTAGAATGCCTCAGACCAGAACAAAGAGGAGACAAACAGGTAGAAACAGGACAGACTGAGTGAATGCTGACAGGAGGATTAAGTAAAATAAAAACAATTTACCATGGAAAAGAGCCAGAGAGAGGAAAAAATGGGTCAATAAAGAAATTACTCCATAAAGAAAGATATAACAAAGTTGAGATTCTTTTTCTTCAATTAATCTGCACTGGGGGAAAAAAAGACAGTGGAAACATTTAGACTAATGACAATACTAAAGTTATTAAAAGGGGAGATACAGACTAAAAAAGAAAAAGGACTTAACATTCTGAACAACTCTGACCACTTAAACAGTTCTGAAATCTATTGAGAGGACTAGCCAGAAGAAAGTCGGAGAGAAACAAATTTATTTTATATTGTGAAATAGCTAATGCTCTAAGGGAAAAAATGCTAAATCCAACAACAGTGGAGAATAGCAGGTTACAGAACTGATTCCTTGCAGGAAGTGAAGAAAGCCACTTAGGACAAGTGGAAAAGTCTGGTGAGGAGAAGGATGGAGGGAGCAGGATGCTCGTTCTAAAAAAAACTATTAAATCATCTTAAATATACCCAGTACTTTCTTTATAGAAGCTTGATCTCCTGTTAGCCCCAGCTTCAGACCTCTTGAATGAATGAATGAGAGAGAGTGAGAAACTGAGAACGTGCTCTTGCTCCCAAAGGAGACAGAGCTCTTCAAGGGAAGAGCCAGTAGGGAGACAATTGAGGAAGAGGGAAATGATGATGAAACAAAGAAATGATTGGACACCATCAGGTCCTCAGGGAGACCCCCCCAAATGAGGAAGAAGAGGCTGAAAGTTGGGAACCAGGCTTTTCTGTGCCCTCGCAATGGGTAGAAAGCTGCCTGCAGAGGGCACAGAGACCATCTGTACCTGATCATATGCATACAGGGTTTGAAAGGCCTTCTCCTCGATGAGCTTTTTCACTTTTTCCACATCCAGCTCTTCTATCCTGTAGTTGAGGTCCCCCAGCCACAAGATCACACTGTGAGGACAGAGCACAAAGGTAACAGGGTTTAGGAGGGACCTGGACCCATCCTATCCAGGGTGCTTCTAACAGAAGGCCCCTAAGGCTCAGCCTCTTGGGAGCTGGGTGAGGAAGTGACTCAGCTGCTCAGGAAATATTTTTCTATTGCCATCCCATTTAATACCATGTCTGACATGCTGCTTACTCAATTATCTTGGTCCAAGATCATTACAAACAGCCTTGAGTTCTCCTTGACTATTTTATGTTTGTATGGTTGGAAAGACAGTCTAATAAGATCTAAAAGCAAGACAATAATTTACCCCTTTCCTGGGAACAGGCAAAAAATATTAAGTATTAGGAGTCATGCCAATCACCCAGGGGACCCCAAACCAGATCATGCTGTGATGCTGCCTCTGCCTACATGTACACTCCAGTCCACAAAACACACTCTCAGCCTTTGTTTCTAGAGCAGTTTCTCTGAAGCAAAGCTCAGCCTTTATAGTGGAGCCGGATTTTATCACCACCATATCATCGGTTGGCTCTTTTTGCACTCTTAGGCAGTGTAACAGGTGTTTTATTACACCTGCTCCTTTGGGAAAAAGCTAAATGAAGCCTTCCTGACGACACTGCACAGCTCAATAAGTACAATACTGCTATACCTGAAGCCAACAACCATGTCATTAGAGAATCTGCACAGCAGTATACACACCCAAAAATAAATGCATACATAAGCTAAAAGAAGACAAACTGACACACAAGCTGCAACCTCACAAACTAGAATGCTGCAAATTCACCAGAAGGGAAAAGCTCAGCTGGAAGACACACTCCCTCTTGGGTACCCTGGAGAAGAAAAGCAATGCTATAGGCTTCTAGAAAACCAATAAGCTGGAGACTGTTCCACTGCAGCAGGCAGGACAAGAGGTGTGACTCTATTTACTCCTTGGCAGACACCATGACCCCAGTGGCTTCTTCCTCTTTATAAAAGAAGTGGTATATGCTTCAACTGTTACCATAAAGTCTGAAATTCTAAGGCATTGAATTTAGACAAATAAAAAGTTTTAGAGATAAATGAAATCAAAAGAATAAACAAAAATAAGTACAAAATGCTCTAAGCAGCTGCAACAATGGCTCTGTAAAGTTGAATCAAGAGGGAAAAAAGACCAAATGGAGGCAAACAGGTGTAGTCCAACTCTCAATTACAAATGCTCTAGAAAGAACACACACATAAAATCCTAAAACATACTTCTACTAAACACTGGGTTAGAAATGCTCACTCTTTGGTTGCTTTCGTCATAATGTTGGATGAAGGCAGACCCATATTAAAATAAATTTTACACTTTTCTAGGGACAAATGATGTTTGAGAAAGATTCTAGAGGTCTGCCAGATGGTAAGTTAGGAGACAAAAAGTTTCCAACGGATATTGTCTACAAGTAATCAAGAGGTGGCAGATAATATCGCTCCAGCAATGGGAAGTCTTCCCAACTCACCTCCCCAACAAAATAATAGAGCCCACAACTCTGCACATCACACTGTATGGGGTGCTGTATGGGGCAGAAGCCAGACTCACTCGTGCTTGCTGATGGTGAGAGGGGGAAGGCTTGGGTCAACCTGACAAAACTGCATTCGAGAACAAATGTCTTTATAGTCTTGATTCCTCCTCTCATACTCTTCTGTGTGGGCTGCCAAGTGAGAATTCACAATGCAGATGCTGGTGTTGTGGAACTTGAACCTGATCGCCACGCCTCCTTTGTTACCCTATTAAAACGATTCCCCAAAAATCCAAGTCACAATTGTGTCAGTCATTTTATTTGATTTATTATTTATTATTATTATTATTTTTTAAAGATGACCGGTAAGGGGATCTTAACCCTTGACTTGGTGTTGTCAGCACCACGATCTCCCAAGTGAGCTAACCTGCCATCCCTATTTAGGGATCTGAACCTGTGGCCTTGGTGTTATCAGCACCACACTCTCCCAAGTGAGCCATGGGCCAGCCCCTTGTGTCATTTTAAACCCACAAACTTTCAAAATGTTTTGTTTTAAACAGTCTTCATAATAATCCTGTGTGGGTCGGCCAGTTAGGTCACTTGGAAGAGCTTGGTGCTGAGAACATTGGCCAGCCCATACTCTCCCTTCTCAACACAAAGCTAGGCTCTTGCAGTGGAACTGAAAAGCAGGACTTTATTAGCCTCAAGAAGAGGAAATTGCAAACTTACTATCAGCATTGTTTGTTTTCCTTGGTGATCCAACATAGTTTCTGCAACACACTTCATGGATTAAACGGGAGGATCATACTAGAGGCTCTAGTGCTGAGTGAATATGAGGACAGGTGCTAGTTGGGCAAATCAGTAAAATACCATTTCTAAATAGTCTGCTCAATCTAGTCCTGCTTGAGGGTACAATTCATCTTGCAATACCTGCATCTTCAAACTGAGACCCATGCAGTCACTGCCTCATGGGAAGCTGGGTCAAAACCTTAGGGGTCGGGCCGGCCCGGTGGCTCACTCGGGAGAGTGCGGTGCTGATAACACCAAGGCCCCGGGTTCGGATCCCATATAGGGATGGCCGGTTCGCTCACTGGCTGGGCGTGGTGCTGACAACACCAAGTCAAGGGTTAAGATCCCCTTACTGGTCATCTTTTAAAAAAAAAAAAGACAAAACCTTAGGGGTCAAGGTCCTCAATGTGCCCAACATGCCACCCAAGGACTCACCATCCTCCCCATGATTCCTGTCCCCACCGTCTCAGCTTCCACTTCTGAGATATATGCTGCATGTTCCTGTTTGACGTATAACAGCAGCATAATCCCAACCAGTCGGATGAGCTTCACCTGAGAAACAGAGTCAACCATTCAAGACATGGCATTAAATAGAAGATACAAACAGGAATAAATATTCCAAAGGAAAAGTCTCAAAGTTGGCTGAGAGTATGAACGTATCTTCTTCTCCACACCAGGACACAAGGTTATCACCTGTTCCACTCACAGATCATGCTACGTGACAACCTAAATAGCTTACAAGTGCCAAGACCCTGTATTTTCCCCATGCCCTTCAGAGGTGCCCCTTCTGGAGGCCCTGGAACTGAAAATAGCAGAATGATTAGTACTGGCTCACAGCAAAGGTCATGGAAAAGATGAAAAGATATCTTAGAATGTCCCTGCATGAAAATGAAAATGCCCCTGACTTTTCTCTTACCTTTGCATATTTGGCATCTGGATGAAGACCACCTGAAACAGCTTTAAACCACTCTTCTTCCCTTGGGGTGTCATGAAAGAAAAAGGCTTCCTTACTCAGATCAAGCTCCTGGAATCTATTTGGAGAAGCAACCAGTTAGACAAGAGAGAAAGGTAATGTGCAGATGACACATTCTCAGATTGGTTTAGAAGTGTAAGTCCTAGCTTTCTAGCTAAACTGCAGGACCATCAGGAGGGAAGAAAAATAAATACTTAGAGCCAAGGAACTAAATGTCAAGGGACTTACTAGGTGCTTTTGCAAACATCAGCCCATTTCCTCTTCATGATCAGCTATGAAGTAGTTGGAAGTGTCCCCATTTTATATCTGCGATCACTAGTTCACACAGCACCACATGGCAAACTGGAATTCAAACCTAGGTCTATATAAATTCCAGATTCTAGCTCTTTCCAGTATACCATACAGACTTCTTTGCTTCCCCACCAATTGTGCACAGTGCAATGGCAAGAAGACAGTAAGGGTGTGGGGAAAAAAAAAAAGTCTAACTAAAATGAGACTTTCTTTAGCTAACCTTCCTTCCCTGGCAAAAGATATTTTTGCTTTGTGGCCAATCAAGTATTGAATGTCTAAGTAATGAAATTCAGTTCAAGATGTACTGATTTTAACAGAGGGTTACACTAAAACTTAAATATTAGCATTTAATGTGCCAGATATTTGTTTACCATGAGGAAGAACATAAAACAGAGAAGCAGCTGTGATTACATACAGGCTCATTTTTCAATTCCTTCACCTGCTGTGAAGACACGGCTACATATTTTTGTCGCCATCCTTTCAACCATGGCTCTGTGTTGTTCAGGACGGAGACACGACTAGAAGAGAAGCACTCACCCTACACAATATACATCTGGGGCCTGGATACCATGGCTCAGCCAGGGCTGGAGGCATTCTTTAGGTGACTGTCCATTCACATTGTATGTTCCCACAAAAAACCTATCACCAAAGAGAATCAATCAGTGGCTTGGAAGCACTACGGAGATGACAGGGGAAAGCATTTTATACTGATTTTGCCTGGCTTCAATCTTTGTGGAGTGGCACTGTAAGACATATGAAATGTCATCTCAAACCTAAACCAGTGACTGTGGCACCCAGGGATGACTTGCACTGTCATAATATCTGTTGTTTTTGTGATAACAACTTCAAACAGTATAGGCCTACTCTCAACATCCCTATTTCTCTTAAACAGCCATTATATAGCCATGATCTACAAAATGATTCTTTACCCTGTGTATGCTAATGAAATGAAAAAATGAATAGTTTCCTGGTAATTACTTTTGGCAGGAAAGAAACAACAGTGTTCGAAAGGCTATTTCTTCACCATAACTCACTGTTTATATTCCTAGAAACAATGTTGTTTTGTCTATAGTCCCAATGCAATGATTGAAAAAGATATAGCACGATCTTGTAAACTTTATTCATTTAACTTTCAGTAATACTGTCTAAAAAGATTACGAAATACCAACTAAATTCATTTTACTAACTTGATTTTATTTTTTTTCATTTTATTTATTTTTTTGCGGCTGGCCGGTACAGGGATTGAACCCTGGACCTTGGTGTTAGCACCACTGAACTAATTGGCCATCCCCCTAACTTCATTTTAAATGACTTTCTTCAAAGGCCCAGAATGACTGAGGGAGTATAAAACCTCAGAAGGATACACAAAAATCAGGATATTGCTCCTTCTGTACCCACTTATCTCTGCAAGTATTTATGTAACTATCTGCAAGTTCTGTCACTCCCATGATACCTCACCTACCACAGTACCTGCCCAGAAGAGGCACAGAATAAATGCCTATTAATGAAGAGTGAATGAAATCACTCATTTTGAAAATGAAGGTAAAGATTCTAAAGAATGGTTTGCTTCCAATTCCAGGGGATGGGAGAAATGCTTAAAGAGAGCTGAATGATCACTTTGCTTTGAAAATAGTCTAAGACCCACTTAGCTACCTGAAGTTCTGGATATAGGTATAATCCTCTTCTTTCTGTACTAGGCGTGATTTCACAATTGTATCTCGCAGTCCAAACTTCTGCATCGATAAAATATGAGCCTTGTCTGATACTGTGATAGTGGAGGAGCGAACCATGTCAGTAATTTCAGACTTGGATTTAGTCTGTCTGGAAAAACACAAACAGTTTTTTCATATTTTGATGAGTCCTCCATGGCAAAATAAATGAATACAAGCTTAGAAGTTCCCACACACAAGCATCTGAGTCCCAGAAGACTAAAGAAGGCCAAAGGAAAATTTACTTACTGAAATAACACTACTTCAATGTGGGATTAAATACATTTATATGTCGTTGATTGCATAGTATACTGTCTGGAGGTTTATCTGGTAATGGAGTCATACAACCTCAGACCAGAAGGGGGCCTTCAAAATAATCTAATATAATTCCTTCACTTTCAAATGAAAAAAATGAGACCCAACATCTTTGATGATTCACCGAGCTGGATGGTGGCAGAGTATGGATTAGAACTCAGACCTGACAGTGCCTTTTCTGGATCCTACTGATTCATTAACAAGACTGTAAAATCCTCCAGGTCATTTGACTTGGTGATTCTACTTCTGTATCTCTATTCCACAGGAATAATCCAAAATATAAAGAAGGGCAATGAAAATTTACATTTCATTATTATTTGTATAGTATTCATATTCATACTACAAATTATTCAAATACCAACTTAAGCAAAATTTGATATATTTACCTAACAGAATCCAATATAACAGCTCAAGAAACTTTTGTTGAAGGTTACTTAATAAACTAAGATATGTAAAGCGCTTAAAACAGGGATGGTCAGTTGGCTTAGTTGGTTGGAGTGCAGCCTTGTAACACCAAGGTCAAGGGCTTGAATTCCCCTACTAGCCAGCTGCCAAAAAGTAAAATAAAGCACTTAAAACAGTTTCAGGCACTGAATAAATGCCACATATGTATTTAATATTACTATCATTATGAACATACTAGTTAAGGCTATGTAAAAATATATCTTTGGTTAAATACATTAGTTGGTTAAAGCATAGTGTTATAACACCAAGATCAAGGGTTTAGATCCCCAAACCAGTCAGCTGAAAAAAAAAAAAAAAATCTGTGTATACCAACACAGTTCAATAGTGAACTGAGAATGATGGATCTAGCTACATGTAAAGTTTAGGGACTGTTCATTGCTGCTTAAGTGCATAATTAAAATATTGACACCAGAAAGTGAAGTTTTATCTGAACAAGATGATTCTGGCTATGATCAGTAGAGGGCACTGGAGTACAGACTAAATATTACAGCACTTCAAGAAAAAAAGTAAATAAAAAAAAGAAGTATCTTCAGAGTCAGGAAACTTCTAAAAGAATAGGAAAGAGAAATCAAATGTTTCTAATCTTCTACATTTCTAAGGGAGGATTAGACTGTCAGTTTCAAATACTAGATTGACCACTTGCTAGTTCTGGGACCGTGGGTGAATTATACAACCCTTTTTTCTTTTTGGTGGCAGGCTGATACAGGGCTCCAAACCTATGACCTTGGTATCATACAGCTGCGCTGTAACCAACTGAGCTAACCAGCCAGACTTGAATTATATAACTTCTTATCACCCGAGTTTCCTTAGCTACGAAACAGAAAGGTACTAACCTCTTACATTAAAATTAGATAGTCCATATGAGAGCATGGTGCCTGGCATACACAAAAGGGCTCAATAAATGTCAGCTATTATTAAGAACATTTCTTAGGTTAGCTACCCTGGAACAACTTACATCATGCACAGTAATGGTCTCAGCTCTACAATGGGGAGAAACTCAGTCCTAAAAGGTACAAATGACTAGAGCGTTGCATTACCTTGTGAGTAAGTTTTCTGGTTTATCCTGACCCCCAGCGCTTTGGTCCACAAGCAGACCTTTCCCATTTGGCCTTGAATCATCAAACTTAGAACCACCTAAAGAGAGGGGCAAGGAATTAAAACAACTTACACATGCTTTAATATATAGACCACAGCTTCTCAAATTATAGTCTAGGAATTACTGGTAGTCCACATATTGCTTGAAAGTATAGGACAGGCCTATGCTGGTGTCTGGGTGAAGTCCCACAGAGCAGACTCAAAGGGGAAAAAGTATTTCATCTGGATGCCTTTACTGCTAAAAACATAACTATTCTATCTAGTCTAACTCCCTTTTCTTGGAGACAGAGCGCATTACAGAAAAAAGAAAACTATGAAACCTGAAACTCTAAATTCTATCACCTGCTTCACAATTTATTGACATTTTGACTTTGGGCAAGCCCTCTAACCTCTCTTAATCTCAGTAATTTGACCTCTCCTGCCTTGCTCACACGTTTACTATAAGGATTAAACGAGTTGACATGTGAACAAGCACATTTTAAAAGCTACACAACATATCATAAAATATAAGATAGTGATCTTATCACTATCTACTGCAATTGAGACTACAACTCCAAAGAGGAGAAAGGCAAGGGTCAGAGATCTAAAATTGGAAAAGGTTTGAGTACTCTAAGGAAGGAGAAGGGCTTGTCACTGTCAACAAACTGCCTTGAAAACCAAAGAGCCCAAGGACTCCCAACAAAGAAATATTTTGGGAAAGTTGTTAAATCAAGATAAACCTGAAAAGGAAAATTAACCTGCCAATACCTCCTCTGCTCCTTAAAAGCCAACCTCTTCTCAACAGGTAACAATATGAAGAGGACACAGAGAGAAGTGACCTTAATGTGTAAGTTACAGGAAGGAGCACTGGAGGCATGAAACACCACTGAAGAATTCTGCTCTGAAGACTATTACAAAACATGCATTTTTCAACCGTGCATTCACATGAACCAGGGAAAAAACCTTTTGAAAAAAGAAAACACAATCATTTGAAACATGAAAATAATTACACTTCAAGGCCTCCAATGAATCACTAACTGCTATGGACTGAATACTTATGCCCCCTCCCCCCCAATTCATGTGCTGAAATCCTAACCCCAAGGTGATGCATTAGGAGGCAGTGCCTTTGGTACGCATTTAAGTCATGAGGCTTGATTATAAGCCCTCATGAAGGGGATTAGTACCCTTGTGAGGACACATCAAAAAGACAACCCTCTGTAATCCAGAAAGTGGGCCCTCACCAGATACTGAATCTGACAGCACCTTGATCTTGGACTTCCCAGCCTCCAGAACTGTCTCTGTTATTTATAAGCCATCCAGTCTATGGTATCTTGTCATAGTAGCCTGAATCAACTGACACCAAAGCCTTTCAATTTTGTTTTCTCAGTGTCTCTCAAATCAATCTATTCCTGTCTCCAATGTCACTGGTTACCAACATCCGCTTGAATGACTATAATAGTCTCAGCTAGTTTTCCTGCCTCTTTTCTCACCCACCCTTTCCAACCCAATCTCTATACTGTGGCCAGAGGATTTTTTGAAAAGTAAACCTGATCACTTTAAACCTCTTAAAGGCTCCTGACCAGATAAACCCAAATCCCTTCATATGGTTGCCAACGCTCTTGGGTTACATCCTGCCCACCTCTCCAGCCACATCACTCACTGCAGTCCTCTGGCCCCTACCTCCTTGATGCCATGCTCTAAGTATATTAAAGTTACTGCAGCTATACAAAGATCCCATCAGAAACTGACTTCCCTCTTCCTCACTCTGCTTTACATAGCTAACTCCTACACATCCTGTGGCCAGGATCAGCAAACTTTCTCTGTAAAGAGCCAAAGAATAAGTGTCCTAGGCTTTGCAGGCCATACAGTCTCCTGCAATTATTCAACTCTGCCATTATACTGCAAAAGCAGCCATGATTGTGACTGCATTCCAGTGACATTTTATTTATGGACCTGAAATTTTTAATATCAAATAACTTTCACATATCACAAAATATTATCCCCTTTTCAAACATTTAAAAATGTAAAAACCATTCCTAGCTCACAAGCTATATAACAGCAGGCAGTGGGCTGAATTTGGCCTATAGACTGTAGTTAGCCAAACCCTGCTGTAGGTCACATTTTAGAGGTCTCTTTTTCCAAGAAGCCTTCTCTGACACTGGTGTTCTCATAGCCTCATGTACTTCCCCCATCACAGCCTTGATTGCTGTGTATTGTAACTTTTTTTCTCCCCAGTTAGTCTGTAAGCCTGTTGAGGATGATAAGACTACTTCTTATTTATTCATCACTGTATCTCCATCAACCAGCACACCACCTAGCACATTATAAGAAGTGTGATTACTCAACAACAGAAAATGCTAGATGGAACTGAATCCTTTATGTGCCTTTTATAAATACATAATATTCAAGTTCAAGTCTGTACCATTCTTTTGGAATGTTTAAGGTAATCTTCCCATTACCTTTGACATACAACAAAAATAAGAAAGGGAGAACTAGAACAGGTTGTTTCTCGAGTTCCACTATCCCATGATTACTTAATAATTATTTCTGGAAACCAAAATCAACTGAATTCTTGCTCTCTTGCTTTACTCATTGAGCTATAAAGCTTAGAGAACTAAGGTATTTGAGTCAGTGAATGGTGTACTGGGATGCCTATTAGAACAGTTGAAATTTTTTTAAAAACTGGCGATATGGGGCCGGCCCGGTGGTGCACTGGATAGTGCGCCGCTTGGGAAGCACGGCGGCGCTCCCGCCCGAGGGTTCGGATCCCACATACGGACCGGTTCCCGCTCACTGGCTGAGCGAGGCGCGGGAGCAACGCCGAGGGTTGCGATCCCGTTGCCAGTCCCCGGTCCGGTATGGGGGCAACACTGAGGGTTGCGATCCGTTGCCGGACACGGAAAAAGACAAAAGACAAAAAAATAAATAAATAAATAAAAATAAAAAATAAAAACTGGCGATATCAATTGTTGACAAGGATGTAGAACAACAGTAACTCTCATTAATTGATTGTAGGGATGGAAAATGGTACAGTCACTCTGGAAGACAGGATGGCAGTTTCTTACAAAGCTAAACAGCCTTACCATATAATACAGCAATCAAAGTCTTAGGTATTTATTGATTTGAAAATTTATGTCCCCATAAAAACCTGCACACAAATGTTTAACAGCTTTATTTATAATCCCGCAAAGCTAGAAGCAACTAAGATGTCTTTCATTAGGTGAATGGATTAAGAAACTATAGCACATCATATAATGAAATATTACTAGGCAATAAAAAGGAATGAGTTATCCAGCCATGAAAAGACATGAATGAATTTTAAATGCATATTGCTAAGTGAAAGAAGTCAGTCTGAAAATGATACATATGATATGATTCTAATTATAGTAACATTCTAGATAAGGCAAAACTACAGAGATGGTAAACAGATCAGTGGTTGCCAGAGGGGTGGGGTGGGGTTAAACAGGTGAAACATGGGAGACTTTTTTGGGCAGTAAAACTATTCTGGAAGAAACAGCAATGGTGGATACATGACACCATATATGGGCTTCAAAACCAACAAAACTTTACAGCACAAAGAATGAACCTTAATATATGCAAATTTAAAAAATCATTCAGGAGGTCAGGGGATCCTGGAGTGAAATGTAGAAAATGACAAAAGAATCTAATTATATCATGAATGTATGAAACAACCTCACTGAAGGGGGTAGGGGAAAAAGGGTTTACCTAAGTAACTTTGGAAATGAATGGAGTCTAAGACTAAAGGCAAAAAGAACCATACCTAAGTGCTAGCTGATACTGTTGTTTCCATGGGGGTACAGATGAGCAATTCTGAAACTGCTGTACATGCATACTGGAATTGAACAATTGAGTAAATAGATGGCAAACAATGGAAGCCACGTTTCCCACCGTTGGAGTGCGAGGTTCCAGATAAGCAAGGGGAGGAAGCTACAATGATCCATGTTGTAATGGATTAGAGTTGGAGACGTCGGTATGAATTCATGTTTAGCTTAATATAACTATAGATGGCTACATATAGAAGTACTTATAGATAGGTATATATACATGGGTAAGTATACACACATATATTTCCTTGCTCTGTCAGCTGAGAGGACCTAGAAGCAGAAAACATGCCAGTAGCAATGACCACAGATAATTCCCAGACCTTGGTTTCTAATACCACTCTACAATAAAAGGAACCAGGACTCCTTGGAAATACAGTTATTCTAGGACTGGGGCAAGAAATATAAAAGATGAGCCTGGAACATCTTGCAGTGCCAGAAAGTGCAAAAGTGCTCTAAAACAAACAAACAAACAAACAAACAGAAAACACCTGCAATGATGGGGATATGTCAAAGGGACACAGGAGCCAACAGAAAGAGCTCTGAATGGCCAAACCTGGAACGACTTGAGCAATAAAATAAAGAAAGTAGTATTGGATTATAACTCAAGGTATAAGCTTTATATCCATCAGTCCATAATGATATAAATAATTAACTGAATAAACAAGTAAATGGGGAAGAAGAGATAAATCTTCCATGAGGAATTCCAGATAATTTATGTATATACTCCACCTTCAAAGAGGTAGAGCATAACTCCCCATTCCTTTGGTGTGGGCTGTGCATAGTGATTTCCTTCCAAAGAGTACAGTATAGAAATGGGGAAAAAATAAAAACTTTACAGTGGAGAAACCTGACAAACACTTCCTCAGCCAGGTGGTCAAGGTTCTCATCAACAATGACAAGTCATGTTGATAACATGTACCCTTGACATGATGTGATGAGAATGATACTTCGCCTCTGTGGTCTTCCTCCTAAAACCTGTAACCACATCCTAATCACGGGAAGAACATCAGAAAAATCCAAATTGAGGGTTTTGACCAGTACTCCTGATTAGTACTCCTCAAAACTGTCAAGGTCATCAAAAACAAGGAAAGTCTGAAAAACTGTCACAGCCAAGAGGAGCCTAAGGAGACATGATGACCAAATGTAATATGGGGTCCTAGATGAGACCCTGGAACAGAAAAAGGACATTAGGTAAAAACAAAAGAAATCTA